CTAAGTGGGAGGAGTCATTGGGTTGCCAGGGCGTGACCTCATTAGACACAACCTCCTCTTCCCCTGGCAACCACTGCGCTCCCCCCTCCCCGACACCCCGCTCCTCCCTCCCCTCGCTCCTACAGCTCGTAAACAAGACCACGACACAAAAAAACACTTGCAGCGAATACACCGTGTTGCTCTCAAGTGCATTGCATGTACAGTAGCCAAAACAAAGAGGAGCAAACGCATGAGAGCAAAACACACACAAAAAAGGGAAAACAATACTTTGCGATTTCCAATACACACACACACACATACATTGACATGCTGATGCAAGATTAAAAAAAAATGTGTTTGCATAGACAAACCAAGCAAGCTATGCAGAATAGAGACTTGTTCCCAGTGGCCACAAAGATGAACAGGATGAAAGCAGGGACAGAGTTGAGCCTGAGTAGCGTGTTCGGCAGGGGGGGGGGCTACTGCGGCTGTCGTGTACCTCTGCTTGACTGTCTGGGGGGGCGAGTATTGGTTTCAGTCGCGCTGTCGGTTGTTTATGTGACGGGAGCGCCTGGTATATGGTGCTGAAGCACAGCTGAGGGAGGGTGAGTGAGCGGGTGGGGGGGGCTGGGATGGATTAACACTGTCGACACAAAAGGATTAGGGAGCAGAGATCTGTTGTTTTCATCAACCCTTCCCTCCATTTCTCTTAACCACGCCCCCCCCTCCCTCTATGCGCCAGGCTCTGGCTCACATTTAGCATGGTTGGGTGGGGTGGGGTACTGGCGTGAGAGGTCGGAGGCACCAAAAACACTTTTCACAAACATGTAATGGTCACTTTAGAGTAGAGATGGGGATAAAGGGGGTTGTAAAAACAAAGAAAAAAGAAGGGGGGTGCAAAAGAGCAACAATGCACTGGGGGTTCAGCGGGGTTTGGAATGCACCACTGTGCTGGATTGCATATGATTATCTGAAGAGGCAGCTGAACGGAAAAGGTAAATATGGTGACACTAAACCATGTTTCTCTGCACCCAGTTCAAACAGCTCTCTCATGACAGCACGCCACATGACAATAACAGACAACTGCTATGATCTCACTGAGATAAAATGCTCTGTCAAAAGGCGGTCACCCCCTTTTTTCTGCCTATTGTGAGGGACATGGCCGACTGGTCACGCACAAAGCAAGTCACTCTATCCAAACCCAACTCGGCACACTCACCCATGCACATGCACATACACAAGGGCCCCGGTCTGACCCCGGTGCACGGGCCCGTGTGCACGATCTCAAAGGAGGTGTTTAGATCCCATCCAAGTTCAATGAACACAGACAGTGAGGAAATCTCAGGGGTGAATGGGTTAAACACATTTTTCCACCTATGTGCACAACAGTACTTTGTTTTGTGGTGAACAGCGGAGGACGCTCCCTCCGGGAGAGAATGGAGGGTGAAATAAAACGCAATGGCGGTAACTTTTCAGTTCACCCACGCTTACACACACACAAAGACTTGCATACAAAGAGAAAGGCATCCAAACTGCCTGAATACATTATTAAAAGCACGTTTTATTTCATTCTAATTCATTTGTAGCTGGAGGAATGAAATTATTGTTTTTCTATTGTATATGTCAAGCAAATGAAACATATTGTGTGATGATACTACTCAATTTAGGACATTTAGAGTGAGTATATGGCCTGCAATTGACAAATGGGTACCTTGGGGTATTAGAACCAATCCTCTCACCTTCTAGTGACCATCTATGGACCCATCGCATTAGGTAACAGATGTTTGGTACTGGCACATTACATTTTTGCCCCAATTTGGCTGTCTCAACAAACAACACATATTACTTATGTGGTAGCTCATTCTGACTGGGGGGCTGATCACAATAAATCTGTGTCTGTTAATTTTGTGGGTAGATGATATATCTTTACTAACAAGTCAATAACATGCACTCAGCAAATTAGTCTCATCAGTCTAAGTTATCGGCAAAGTAACATAATCTTGCCAGTGCAAGTATGCGGTGGGCCATCGTGCCATTAATGACTGTTTACCAAACCAATGTGCCCTGGAGCAGATGCCTGGTGCTTGGTTCAATCATGCATGCGATTATGTCGTATTGATCCCCTGCTGTAACAGGCTAATGAAGAGTCTATGAAAACCATTAAAGCGATCGATGAAATGCCGCTGATGAAACAGGCTCATCATAAATAGAGCAAGGACTCTGCTTGACGGGGTTTTATTTTAAGTGTGATTTCTCGCTGCCAGGGATCGGCACCTGAACCTGGCGCTACTGTAAATGCTATCTGCTTTTTAATTAAGGAGGGTGTGCGGTGACATTCAGATTCTTGAAAGTGTCCGTGAGGTTTAGTGGCATTTCTATTTTCTGTCCGACCCTGGGAGTGCCATGCAGGTGAGGACGAAGAAGGCACTGGCGGGACTGATAGTGGCACTGAAAGATGGCAGACTCTCATTAAAGATGCAGCACGGCTTACTTCCACTCCTCACATCTCCACCCGGGAGAAATGGAGCATAAGGTTCTTGCTCTGACCGGTGCTCTGCAGACATTTGACCATTCCACCTTTCATGTATGCATGCACGTACACTGTAACGTATTCCTTTTCCTGCTCAATCCATAAGCTACCCTATTTAGGGGTTTCTGAATGACTTGGAGATATATTTTACCAAAATTGTATACATACGTTCCTTAGAATTCAGCTGCCCAGCATGTGGCAATGTTCTACTTAATCGAGCTTCACCAAACTCATTTATCACCACTTCCTCCCTCCTGACATGTCAAGCTGAGGCATGTCTCTCTCTCTCTCTAATGACCACCCTCCACACTTCCCGTTGTTCCCCCAAAACAGAGAGGTGAAAATGGGAGACTGAAGAGCGTAATCTCTCAAACGGGCGGTTGAGGGCTCCAATCTTGGGGGTTTAACCCCCTGTAAGCCCCTTAAATACCCGGTTTAGAGGGCCAGAACTGATGGACTAAAGCCTCCAGAGATTGTCTACTAACTACTGGACTCGGACACAGCATGAGCACACAGAATGAAGGATCCCTTGTCATGACTACAGCAGCCACTTCATTCGTCCGCAGTCAAAGGATTGGACGGGCTTAATTGGCCTCGGAAGTGCCACAGTTATGTTCATAATCGTATGATCATATGGTTAAATGAAGGATGCTAGGGGTGACTGATGACTGATGATTTGAAATAAGGTTTGACTGGAGAGACAATAGCAACATCCGGTCACCTCAGACACGTGACAGAAAACACGCCTTGTCACCTCCTATTGACCAGACTTTGAACTATGTTAATGGTACCTCTACAGGAAAACGTAACCTGCCTGTATGAGCATCAAGGGTGTCTGAGTGAGGACTCTCAAAACAAGGGTTATTGGTGCCATCTACTGACCAAGTTCACCAACACTTGAATTTCATGTATTTCAGGCACACAACATTCAAACGAATATCGTTTCTCTTCACATCAGAGACACTGATCAGGAGTGTTTGTTGTAGCCTGTACATCTTTCTGTAGAAAGAAAGATATCACTGTTTTTTTTTTATTTCCCCTGAAATAGTTGGATCCTAACACAGGTCCTAGTTGCAAAATATAACAATAAAACACCCACCCGCGCACACACACACACACACACACACACACACACACACACACACACACTGTAGGCTACTGTACATTGAATATTTTTTTGCAACTTTCCCTAAACACATAACCATACATAATTGATCGTATTGCTGTTGCATTTGTAAATAATTTGTTAATATTTGCTGTGGGCAATTTAATGCACATGCAATTATGATGACTTGTGGTTTCTTAGATATCAGTGATGACTTTTTTCCTTTCGGACATTGTGACATGCCATAGCAGGAAAAGCACAGGTGTATTTATTAATATTAATGGTTGTATTAGACTTAGCGATCTTACTCTGGGACACTTTATGGAATTTAACCATTGTTAATGTTAGTAATTCCGCTTGTGCTTCTGCTGCTATCACAAGTCAAAATGTCTACTGTGAGAAAGCTCTACTTGCTTTAAGGACCACTAAAGATACACACAAAACAGAAAAGAGGGGTGTTAGCTGGGATGAGTGGAAGGAATAAAAGAGGACCGTAATGCAACCCAGAAGCCCCAATATGCCGTTAAGTGTTAAGTGTTTCTGTTGAGGCAGTTTAGACATGAGTTTGTGAAGACGACCCTGAAGAATTCCGGGCAAATTTAGTCTATAGTTAGACTTGTTTAAAACTAGCATTTTAAGTTTCATGTTAATTGGACACTAGTGCACCACACGTTTTTGCAGGAAACGTAATTTTACCCGCGCTCACCTTCCATCATTTCGGATGCTCATACCGGTAAATTGGCAACACCAGTAACGTAAACTGTGACTCTATTTACTGATAGTACTAAGAGTGACAACAAACTGGGGCTAGCAGTTAGCGTTAGCTCGGTATTAACGTTAGTTAAAGCGAGAAGCTAACGTCAGCGTTAGTAAGCTCAAGAGGTGGTGGGTTGTGGCAGGTCGAGTGCTTTTATTAAGAAAAAGATTGGTTCTGTTAGCTAATATGGCTCCATTCAAACTTATTAACATTACTTTTGCAGCAAGAAGTTAAAAACAAAATAAAACTATTTCATTAGCTCCCCTTGCTTGGTCTGTGTCATGTGCATGCCTTGTTGTGCAACGTCAATAAAATATACAAACAACCAGCATCCGTGTCTTGCACTTTATACCTTGAAAAGAAATGGCTCCCTTTTCTTCTTGCCTAAGTTGTTTATGCCTATTTCTGTTGGCATAACTTTGATAAAGTTGATAATCACCTCTAACAGTAGTTGAATGGTTGGAGTTTTGTTTCTCCTGTTATCCAGACATTGTATACATGATGTTCATATCACTCGTCCTGCTGGAGCCATGCATCCCTGTTTTATCTGACAGCAACTTTAGCTGCAACGCCTAGTTGGGATTTTCAACTATCCTTTTCTCAAACCACGTTAGCCAGCCACAGCCCCTTCTAACTGACCGTCCATGCTGTCTCCACATCGGTGTTGTGCAGAAGTGAGATCTCTCATCCAGCAGCTGTCTCCCAGATAGCTTTGGGTTCACTAATAGGCAAGAAAAGCAGACATCTGGCCCAATACCTAAAAATAAAATGTGTACTTACATTGATTAATAAATAGTTTGCTGTGCTTTGCCTCAGAATCATTTCATGAACTGCCCCTAGTAAGTCTTTTGCTTGCTCCGATAGCTTATATCTGGCATAATAGCCTTTGACCCAGCTTATATCGATGATGCTAAATAAAACAAGCAGGATGAGCCATTGCTGCTGGTGCCTCCAAACTAGCCAGGGAGGATGTGGTACCCACACAGACAGCTTGACAGACTGCTCTGGGCCCTTCTACAGAGGCTAGATTTCAGTCACTAGGCTTCCCCTTCCAGATGATCTGATGCTGTGTTTTACTTCTGCAGTAAAAAAAATAAATAAATCACATGTGTTAATCAGAATCACATCTGTGATCTCTATACTTAGCTCAAGAGCATCCTCTACTGGAAAGCCTTATAATAGTAGAAACCTTTTGCCAATGGGTTCAGGCAGTACAGCGAGGAAACTGTGGAGCATCGCTCCAGTCTGTTGTACTTACAGTTGTTAGAGACATTATTACTGAATATAGGCCTCTCAGTTTTAACTTTAGAACATCTATGTAGTTTTAGAGACTATTAGTTTAGTGTTGTAGGTATTACAGGTGTCCCCACAAGGCTTGCCTGCTCTGGCATCGCGGATTACACAGTTTTAACCCCCTGGACTAGACAAACGTGAGACCTGTAAACTCAGACTTTTGAGGCGCTCTGGTAGCTCAGCTGGTGGAGTGGGGGCCACATGTACTGAGGCTACTGACACGGTCGGGGTTTGAATCTGAGGCCGTGGCCATATGTTGCAAGTCGTCCTCTCTCTCTCTCTCTCTCTCTCTCTCTCTCTCTCTCTCTCTCTC